TATATATATATATATATATATATATCTGTGTGTGTGTGTTTATGTTTCTTCATTTACGATCGTTTAGCATATTATTAGATATAACAACAATTAAACTATTTATGTTTGTCTATACTTGACATCAAATTCGTTCATATTTACGTAGTATGATGTTAGCGCATCCCGTCGAGTATGTCTTTCTTGGTTCGACCAACCGGCGAAATCTGCCTTCCTTAATTGGAATAGCAAGAACAAGTCTCTCTATTTTTTAGGGGAGCACGTGATCCTCGCTACTTACTGCTTATGCTTATTTGTTATTTCAATGCAATTGGGAATCAAAAATAAGTAACTTGCCGACCCTCTTCCTTTATGTCCTTCACCCAACAAGGAAAATGCATAGCTCAATCGTGCAAGTTCACGTCGGATTACGGAATCTGGAGTAATGATCGAAATTGAATGTCTTTAGTTAAAAGGCGACGAAAGCTATCCTCGTGGCTTCAGGGAAAGAGATCCGAGAGTTTTGACAGTAATGGGAAGAGTTTGAAGGCTTTCCGTTCATCTCCCGCCTTAGCAGATTCATTGGCATCCTTTGCTCACGCTCATAGGGATAACATGGTGTTCTACTCAGAAGATCAGTTTCCTACTTGCTGCAAAAGTCAATTGCTTCATGATGCTTTGGGCTTATATAGCTTCCAACAATCATAGGTCTTTTAGCTCTTTTCTTTATGATTATGTATCCTATGGACCTTTTCTTAGGAGGTTTGGGTAGGAGCGGGTTGAGTCTGTATCACCGCGGAGCAATAACTGCGTCTGATCTGATCTATCTACTCAACAATTCATCTAGTGACTTCACGGTCGCCACTTACTGCACACTAATAGAATCTAAACACTTTCAAAGTGTTGTGGATTTATAAAGGTATGTTGGATGTACTTGGGTCTCTTTCACTTGTGTGCATCTTAACTATTATTGAAAGGACATGATCAGTATGACCTTTGGCTCAAGGCCTTTAGGTTGAGCCCATTCATTCCATTCGATCGATCTGTTGTAAATCAATGTGAGTAGCCCTACTTTCCCCACCTTCAGCTATCCTTTTTCTGCCTTCCACTTTTGAGAGCTAGACCAGACTTCCTTTTCTGGCTTCCAATCTACTAAGGACACCTGTCTTACTGGCTTTGAGTTTGATCCTTCCCTGTAAAACAAGGCGTGTTCGAATTTTGATTGCTTTTACGCGAGAACGAGGGACCACCCTCTAAGCCTAAGTACTCCTCAATGATCGATATCGTACAAGTACCATGAGGGAAAGTGTGACAACCCGAATATTTCGTATATAATTTCAGCAGTCTATAACTTCATTTGAAAATCAAATTCATTTCCGCCATCTTTTAGCCCAATTTAAAGTCCGTATTAGTATTCCGAGCCGACTACACTTAAGGATCAAGTGTTAGAAAAACCACCACTAAAGTCCTAACATCAAAAACCATGCCATAAACTCCATAAGATGGAGTTTACGGCCGTAAACATGGAGTTTACGGCGGTAAACTCCGGGCGGTAAACTCAATTGGGCTCTAAACTCACCCTATATAAGGAATGAGTGGTCCTCCGTTTCAATCTTTTCCACTCTTAGAAGTCTCTCTCTCTCTCTCTCTACCCTCTATCTTCAAACTCGGATTTGATCAAGAATCATCCATTTCAAGCTCCTAGATTGTAAGTATTCCTATCCTAACTCATTGTACACTAGGATTAACATGTTTTGGACTTAGAAAACACCATGAATCAAGGATGAATGAGAGTTTACAGCCTATGAATGTTCTTGGGTCGTGAACTCCCTTTAAGGGTGCAAAGTTGCCCTTTCTTCCTTCCTTATGTCTAGAACTCAACATAGAATCAACCACCATCGAAGTAGGGACCTTAAACATCAAAGAAACCAAGTCCTCTTAGAGTTTACGGCCGTAAACCCAAAAGGAAATGGTCCTTTGGCTGTAAACTCCAAAAAAGGGTCCATTTGGAGCCCTAGTCACTTCCTATGCCCCAGAATGGAGTCTAGCTTATTTCCCTAAGAGATATAACATCTTTAAGCAACCAAGAACACCACTACCATGAGTTTACGGCCGTAAACTCATGGGGAAGTGGTCTTTGGGCCGTAAACACCTCTAGAGGTCATCCACTTGAAGAGTAAACTCCTTAACGAGGCCATACACTCCTTAGATGCAACCCGTATTATTCCTAACACTTGAAATAAAGTGTTTCCCCGCATTAGAGTGTATTTACTTACTTAATTAGTGGTTAAATAACTAATTAGATACAATTATGTATCAATTCATGTTACATAGGATCCTCATGTGTGTTCAAGTCCTCAATTAACACCTAGCATCCTACCCAACACTTCCATTCATTCGAATCACCCTCGATAGGTGAGTTCATACCCCTACACCTTTTCCGAGTTTTTCATGTTTTCAGGGGGGAATACAAGCAAAGTACAAGGGAACTTATACTCAGAACTTATTATTTCTTATGAAATACTTACATGTTCATCATGCTTTTAACACGGAAAACCGATTTACCAACCGATTAAGAAATTAACTTGTAGAGTTAGTTTTCAAAACTAAAACAAGGAAACTTGTGAATCTCATCATAAAATGTTATATTTTATAGTTTACAAAGGATTCACGCCAATCATAAAACGGAATTTTCCATACTATTACTTGTAAATTTGTTATTTTTAAGATTGGAGACACGTCCTCGGTAACACTCCACAGAGATACACGAGTGGAGGACCGACCCTGTAACCAGAATCTCCTGGAGGGAGAACGTGACTTGTGTGTATAGATCTATACGGGACTGATTACCCCGCACCTTGCTGTTAGCTACAGTAGGACCGACAGGTCTACGGGTGACAAAGTCATAAAATGATATTGGCCCCGTTACGCGCCATATCCAGTTTATTGTATGGTTATGGAACTCGCAAACTTAGATAATGGAGATTTACTCTTAGTAATAATGAACCTAGTGAACTAACCTCAAAGTAATAACTCTTTTGATTACTAGAGGGTATCAACAATACCCTTAGGAATTAGTTCACTACCTACTTATTAGTTTTATGTGTGTATTAAAGCTAACGTATCTCATCGAGAGTAACCGAGCTTTCAAGGAAACTGCACCTAACGATACAAGTATGGTAAATACTTGTACACCTCATTTCCGGATCGATAACCAACCATTGACTTTTAAGGAAAATATGGGTTTTTCCTGGGATAACTTAACTTTTCATAAATAGGATGTTTAACAAATGGATAACCAAACTTCTTTTATAAGAAAATATGGGATTTTCTTGGATAACAACTTTTCATGAAATCAAAGGTACATTTTCTTTTACCAGAATTCAACCGCTTATGAACTCACCAGCTTTATGCTGATATTTCTAAAAATGCTTGTATTCTCAGGTTCACGTTAGACAGGTATCTCGCTTACTTTTGGAGAAGACGGTGCATATAGAAGTCTCGTCTATACTTTTGTTATATTGATGTATATAAACTATGTATTTCTCAGCTTTCAAACAAATGTAAATATTCTTATGTAATGTAATTGTTGTGTTTGCTATGCTTACTATGTACAATGGTTGTGATACTACGCATGACGTCCTCCGCCACGGAACGTTTCCGCCGTCGGTTTCGGGGTGTGACAGATTGGTATCAGAGCGTTTGTTTATAGTGAATTAAGTATACCGAACCTTACATGGTATACAACTATAAACACTAAGGGGCCGAAGTGCTCTGAACTAAAAGTATACTTTAAAATACAAGTATTTTACAAAAAGTATACAAGAATACCTAAATATCAGAAACAGTAACCACGAGTAGAACAAAACAAAAGTAATTGGGTGTTGGGCACTGCGGTTAAACCTGGGCAGTTATGTAGTCGTGTCTAGGGTCAATATAGTCTGATCAACTATATTCATTCGAGACACAGCCAACATGTGCTTGGGAGTGACTGTGGTGTACAACAGTCCTAAAACTTACCAAATATCCAAACAACAAGTCATCGTCGCAACAAAACATAAAATACTATAGGAGTATTTTAGTCAGAGCCGAATATGTTGAAGAAATTCATTCCAAGTGGTGCTACTCATTCTTTCCTTAGCGATAGTTTACTTGCTTTAGTAACTTTTCTTGTTCTATCGCCTAGTAGAACACTCTATCTGCCATAATGAGATATCTCTTGTTTCATATCTCTTGATTCTATCCAGAGGACTTACCACCCTCTCTTTCCTGATCATTTTAGATCAAGATGCCTCCAAAGAAAAGATCCAGCTCAAAGAACAACAATCCTCCTCCGCCACCTCCTCCATTTGATCCTGCCATGTTCCAAGCAATCGTTACTGCTTTGAATACAAAAGGGAAAGAATGATCATCAGCCTGACACCATTATGGATCATCATATTAAATTTGGAAGGCATTGTAAACGATGCCAATGTTGTAAGCTTGTGTGATGATGTTCCACAAGAAAGCAGAGCGAGAGTAGGGGAGTAATTGGTAAAATAGAAGGCAGGATGTTGATGAGTTTCCGAATGTGGCGTATCAGAGGATGAGAGAAGCAAAGACAATAATTTTGTTTGGGGGAGTAGCCATTCATGGGATTGTTTGGTTTGTTGGAGTTATTTTACAGAGGAGCCGAGTGGGAGGATGGTGTAATTGCATTGCTAAAGGATTGTGGAAAAAGATTGATAATATGGAGTTTTGCCTAACAATTGTATTGGTTTACAAAAGCTACTTTCGGTGAGGGTCTTCAGAGAGGAAGAAGAAAGATAGAGAGAGAATGCGAGTTTAAATGAAGATGTTGGATCGCATAAAAGGAAGTCTAAGAAGCCTAATCAACATTAGTCAAAAGGCAAATTTCTATAAATGTCTATATGGCAAGGGGTAATCAGCTTTCAGAAATTTCAAAATGACTATTTAGAACCAACAAAACTCACATTATTCTCCTATAAAACAACAAAATAACTTTAGGGCTTTTGTGTCATTTCCTCTATTTTCATATTAGCAAATTATCAATGTAAATGCAGTTGACATTTTGTGAAGAACTTGTAAAATTGTAACAAGTGTGTAACGAGGAAAAGACCCAACAAATCAAATCAATTAATTACTCCTATCATATCATGTGGTTGTCAAAACTTGTGTTAGAAATAGAAAATCACAATGTGTATACACTCTTTTATTTATTTATTTGTGTTGTTTATTTTTCTCTATGCATATATGTACATAAAAGGATGTGTTGTGAGTTAAACAGATGACTCCAGAGCCTCCTTCACATTTAACAGCACGTGTTCTTCTGTATTCCCATCCACAGCTCCATAACTAACCTGCATTTCGTTTATAATTATTTTTATTTTTAACCACCAAATTAAACCAATCCCATTTTCAATAAATCAATAAATCAATAAAAGTAGAAAACAAACCTCAACAGGCAGCTCAACCGGGAACAAGTTGATGCTACTGGGATTAAACCTGAAACCACTGCACACGTAACAAACTCGATTTTAAAAAGTAGAATAAATAAAGTGCAAATTATGTATTTTTATTAATTTAGAAAATCTAAAAATAAAATGGATATTTATAGATATACCTGCGAGAGATTAGCAACTGCCAGACGTAAGGAATGAAGAACTCTTCCGGGTGGCTTTCTTGTTCATATGTGAAGCGTAATTGGGTGAACATCTGAATTTGCAGCATAACATTGTTAAAAATATGAACATTTACCATTTTTTATTTTTATTTTTTCAAAAAAAGATGTAGATTATTATTTACCTTCATCCCATCTCCTCGCCAAAATCTGCAGTTTGTGTTGATGACTTGCAGCACCTTCTCAACTGACCATTCACCATCCAACTTTTGTGCATCCATTCGGCTATTAAAGAAGTCCAACACCTACCAAACATCATCAATTCAATTCAATCATTTTGTATCAATAATATATATATTATATATTATTATATGATTAAAGTAATGGTATTTATTTTGGTGCATACAGAAAAAATGTTCTCCAGCAACTCATTGAAGCGTGGATGATTCCGGAAAGGTTGAAAAACCTCCTGCCTGTGCATAATTGCATAAATCACCTGCCAAATTTTTACAAAGTCAATCTCAAAGGGCATTTACGTCTTTTTGGGCAATACTGTTTGTACCTCTGGGTTCCTTGGAAGTGCGTAAGTCAGGATTGCATTCAGTATCTCCAACACGATCCTCAAAAAATCCGTATAGATATGCAATTCTGCTGACTGGTCAACAAACAAACAACATATAGGATATAATACAACCTTATATGATGCTTTTAATAGCATGAAATAAATGTAGTATGTATGCCATAATTAACAATTTAACCATGTAATAATAATAATTTACCGTATCTTCAGGGAGTTTATCATCATCTTTGAGTTCACTATCATTTATCTGCATTTTATCATTCTTTAGCTCTGCTAGTTTTGCATATCTGTATATCATGCCCATGAAAAACAGTGATTAGTAAAAAATAAATAAATGAAAGTACAATGTTGTTATCAGGAAGATGCTTACTTGCGTGACAACATGTCAAAAAGGCTAACAAGGCGTTGTGATGCATATGAACTTAATCGATGCACATGAGGCGCCATGTTAGCTAAAGCTGCAAGGCAATTTGTATGTAGATAAACATCCTGTTCCAATTTATAAAAAGTTAGCTCAAATATAACTAATATAAAGCATAAACACACACATACGTATACATGCAGCTATATCTATATTATATAATATATATAGCATAATAATTATTATAAGTGGAATTAGATTCTTTTATATATTGTCTTACCCGCATCTTAGACATGTTATACTTCACTGTCCTAATTAGAATGATGACCATAAGAGAGCCAAGAGATGTTTGATGAAGAAGCCGCTCTTGATACCATGGAACAGAAGGCAGAATCTAAAAAAAAATGTCAATATATATTAGGTTAATTTCCCCAATAGATTAAGACTAAACTCAATAAAAAAAAAAAAACGTATAATTGTATTTGATAAAAGTAAAAGAAATTTACCAGCTTGTGGATGCTAGCATTAAAAGAAGCATCTTGACTAAGTATAAGCAGAATAATCAACACCATGTAGATTTGATTTGATGTTCTCCTTGAAGCATCATAGAGTGTCTCCAACAAAGGCATTAACTGGCCATTTTAATTGAAAAAAGAATCTCAGACAAGATACACAACAAACAAGACTAAATGTATTTTGCTTTTTGCAATAATAGATTCATACCAATGTATCTATATCAGTCCGCACCAACACATATTCCAAAAAGTCTGAATTCCCATGAACCAAAGCATACAGTAGCAAAACAGCAGTTTCATCAGCCAAACACCTGCAGTTATATGAATAATATGTAAAATACAATAGCTATAATAAAAATATGAAGTGAAATCAGGTCTTACATGCCAAGTGTATCAAAGAGAGAAGCAAAAGACAATCTGACAAGTGGACCACTGTGTGCATTTCCCTCAATATCCACCCTATCAACTGCAAGGGGGTGGTGGTGATAAACTATGTCAGTTACTTGGAAATAACAAGGGAGCATTGTACTTTCAATATATATATTTCTTACACTCAACATCCTTAACATTTTCCAAGGCTTTGCAATACGGGTTTTCAGCAAAATATGTTTCATCTTTCAGAAGAGATTCAGAAGTGACACCGGCATTGATGTTCTTAACAGATTCCACAAGAATACATTTACGATAATGAATGAGTATAAGTAGTATATTGATACTGCTGTCTGCCAGTTGACTTCTTGAAGCTTCTACACTTGAATTTACAAAGTAACTAAGTGGTAATAGCACTATATTTGCTGCAAATGAGGTATAAAGAACATTCTTTTAGACATACAAGATATATGTACATTGGGGAAAAAAAAGATTATTAGTTTTTGGAAGATTATATATAATATATTATTACCAGCTGCTGAACCAACTCTTTTCAGAACACCAAGCTGATTTTCTTCAGACAATAAGGTATAAGATGAACTAGTTTTGGATCGTGGGCGTGTGATGTAATTAAGTAGCAGTTTGTGAACAACCAAACCTACTAGAGAACTATCCTGCAAATATGGTGTTAAGAGAAAGAAAGGATTAGCATTCTTAGGGAATGTTTGGTTGCCAAATATGGAGGAGGGAATTCAGTTCCATAGGAATCCTTCAAATTCCATGTTTGAAGGATTTCATTATTTATAGGGTAGGGTGGAAGGATTTCAATTTTGTTCTTTATTTTTTTATTGATAGACCAAAATACCCTCATTATATATATTGAAATTGTTAGTGGTTACCACTCATTGCTGCATCAATGAAAGGGTGAACATCATTTGGTCCAGGTGATGGACCAGAAAGAAGCTGTGTAGACATGGCAATGAGCATGAAGTTCAGCAGCTCATGATGTAGGAGATATGTCTTGGGACTTCCAAAAACAAAAGTATTTATATGTACACAGTTAGATAAAGTAATCATAGAGCCTACTACTATAAAATGAATATAATAATAATAATAATCAGAAGTATACCTTATTTCGACTCTGCCAATATAGCTAAGCACAGCATGCATAACCATACTTATAATGCTCTCATCTGCAATCAACAACAAAATACATAAATGTTGAGAATACAAATTAATTGTTATATTTATGTAAGACACTTCAAATCAGAAAAAAAGTATTTATATATTAGATGAATTACCTTTACGGATATTGCTTTGTACTGTTTCACTCTCGTCTAGGGACAAATACAAATCTTCAAGGTTCTCACTTGTCGAATTCTCTATTGAATACTTAAGAAATACAGAGGATATGTAAGATGCATTTACAGCTTTCATTGAAGCCACAGATAGGACACCAGGGTTAGAAAGTGACTCTTGTAAACACCAGGTTAAGTGGATTAACATCTTTGCGAGGTGCCTCGTAGAACCATTGTTTCGTGCTGTGAAATAGAACAAATCAATATCCAAAATAAGACCCTAATGAATGCAATCTATATGTAGTCCACAAAATCAAGTTTAGCTTAGATTTCAGCAAGAAAAAACTAAATTAATCACTTATAATACATCTCAATTGATAAAGTTAAGACTACTAATTAGATAGGAGACCAGAAATAGGAATGAAAATAGCAGCAAGATAATGGAATCTCTAACACAAAAACATTAGGGCCCAGTCCTGCATACTGTGTCAACCATTTGAATAGGTGGAGGGATAGAATTCCAGCAATGACCTCTTAAAGCTTGCGGAAAACTAATGAGAAGCATATATGGGCAGAAGCAACGAATTACTCAATATGGTATAACAGAAAAATCAGAAGCAAACCAAATAGCAACTACCCTTTGTCAAAGGTTTTGTAAGGAAGGTGGCTTGACAGATTATCAAGAGAATGAATGTAAAACGAACCAGGTTTTCCGCCTAATTTAAACATGAAATGAAAAAAAAAAATCTTAAGAATTCCCCTATTTGAGGTAGCATTTGGAGGGATAGTTCTCCAGATCATACCGGAACCCCTCCGCGCCATCAGCTTAAAAGCTCACAAGTACAGAACAACTATTCATCTAAACACCTGACAGAGAAGTACATTACATTGAGGAAAACAGAACGCTACAACTAACCGAATTCCTGGCAAGCTTGTTCAACACGATTAGCCGGCCAATGGAGGTCAAACGGGAGCTCCAGTAATTTCTGCCAGTAATCAGAAACGAGCGGAAACGTTTTATCACCAACAAATGTTCCGATTAAATACTCCGCCGTGTCCTGCGACAACTCGCTGCCCCACCGCGGTGTTGAAGGCACGGCCCCCATCTAGTTTGGATTTTGGCAACCAAGGGACCTCCAAAATATGGCGTAGATCAGTTTGATGGATCTAAGTTGAATACTGGAGTAGAAAACGTAAATGGCAATAGTCTAACGACCTGCAATTTCGGGAGGCGTAGATCTTGAGACGGTGGTGGTCGTCGGTGGGAGACTCGGCTGAGATATCTTCAAATCTTCAAATAACAATATTAATAATAATAATATAAATAGTAATTGCTAGTAAAGTAGCCAAACGCCAAAAAGGAAAAAATCTGTTGGCGAAATTACAAGCAAACCAAATAAGAATTGCCTGCCTAATTAAGTTAAACTTGTAATTTTATTACACCAAAACGAATTTTTTAAACAACTATCAAGTAGTTGGCTACAAATTACAACTTATAACACAACAATAGAGTACCTCTCAACAACTCTAATCTATAACATTAGTTTTATTTAATTTTTTGCATCTTAAAGAAATCAAGAAAAATAAACACTTACAATCAAATCAAAAAAGGAATCAGTTGGCATCTTTCAAGGCGTTGAAAAATAAAATTGTTCGAAAACTTCATCTAACCATAAACATAGTAATTATTACACTATTAAATAATTTTCTCCTGTAACACTTAAACCAGTTGATGTTTTAGTGTTTGGATGGGTCGGAAGAAAACATGTATGCGTAGATCTAACAGGGGTTTTCCCTCTTGTGGGTTTGGGGAGTGGAGTTTTCACGGTGGGACAAAACTGCTTTAAAAGTTGCATCAAACAAAGTGGCGAAACATGAGAAAGCGTGTATAGAAAATCAACACACGTTTATACCCTTTGCATTTGATACTTTCGGTTTCCTTGCACCAGAAGCTGTGGAACTACTCAATAGAGTCCAGCGGGTCATGCATTGTAATGTTATGATTCCAAGATCTATAGATATTGTTTTTAAAACAATTAGTTTTATCATCCAAAAAAAAAGGTTGCAGCACAATTTGTTGCTCGTTTACCCGTTACGTCTATGTAAATATTTCTTGATTAAAAAAAAATTAAAAAAAAAAATAATAATAATAATAGTTGTATGTCAATTTTATCAAAAACCCTAAATCAAAAGTATCATAAATCAATCAATATATCCCACCATCTACAAACTTTCACCCTCGACAATAATTAAACATATGTGAGTCTAATTCGATTTCTAAATCACAAACCCTTCATAAAGTCGAAAAAAAAACGTCATCTATCAAATATTTTTCCGAATATGATAAAATACATAAGTACGAGGACTATTTATGCCAATAAAACAAACAGTTTGCCTTTTGACCGTAACGTGACCATAGAATTAGAAAGTGACATGTTTCTCTTGGATCTTTATGGATACATATCCATTCATCCATTAATTAAATAAGAAATTTATTTTGTTATTCTTATTGTTTTCTTTCTAATTATTTTTTAACGCCTTGGCTTGTTCTTGAGTTTTTTTGTAAATTTATTAAAGGAAAATGAAGTAAAATTTTGACAGAAAAAAAAAGAGGTGAAGGAAAATATTTATTATTTTGTGTTCCTGAATTCGAAAGAAATGAAAGGAAAGGAAAGGAAATTTTTTAGTTTGTATAGAAGGAAAAAGAAAATAAAACTTAAAATTTTTCTTCCCCTCACTTTCCTTCCATTAATGAAACTCGGAAACACGATTTTCTTTCGACACCCTTCACTTTCTCTCCGTATCCTCCCATTTCTCTCCTTAAGTGCAACTTGGGAACAAGGCTTAAGGGACAACAAATTGTTATAAGAGCTTTAGGAGGAGAAACCTTTTTTTAATTGAACATGAGTTTTAATTTGGTGAACTCTTTGTTGCTAATTTTTTTTGGATCGGAAAGGGTGAATGTATTATTAAGTGACATTTTGTAATAGGTTCGTAAGGTTTCTCAATTCGGAATCAAAATAACAACAATATCTATACTAAAGTGTTTTTGGGAAAAATCAAATTCCAATTTGGTAGGACACAAGGTATTCGACAAAAGGTCTAAGAGAGTACCAATTGATTTTTCGTGGGGTTCAAGAATAAGGATTGGTTTCCGTTTTAAAAGAGATAATTTAAATAGTGAAAGGGTTCATTTGGGTGGTAATCGATTTGATTTTCATATATGTTTATTGATTAAAAAAAATTAATGTTTTAGTTCGTTTATAGGCAACAATTTGATTGGATTAATTAAAAGGGTGAATTGGAGGCGGTTGATTGTTGGATCAGTTGAGATTTTCACAAGTTTTGATTGGTCATGAAAGGAACGTTCAGTAACAAATCCATTAGGTCAATGTACTGCAAACATGGAGCTGTTTGGTGGAAGAAAATGCAACGATCTTGATTATTTGAAGGAATAAAATATGGTTTTGTCAAGTGGTAACCAACGTATTTACATGGAAAATGGTCTATGGCGGGTCAAAATCCAGGCAAGAGCGTTGCTTAAAAAACAAAGAACCACTTGTTGGGGAGAGGCCTACTATAAAGGGTAGGATAGTTTATATATAGAGGATATGAAGATTAAGAGAGGTTATTGTGGCAATGTCAGAAGATATCATATTTGTTCCTTGTTCGGAAGGGAACGGGGTATGGAACCAATAAGTAAGAATTTCAACGTCAAATCATTTTGAAGAATAATCTTTTGGAAGATAACAACAATTGTCAAAAATAGTTGTTTTAGTGAAAATAGTAGCACAAGAATATAACTGTTTAATATTTATATATGATAATGAGAAATGTGTTTATGTTGTATATGTATGTATGAAACATATTTAGATATGGATGTTATGGGTTTCCAACCAAAGAGAAGTAACAACCTAATTTTGATCAGATCAAATATTGGACTTGTAAAACTAATACTATGTTGTACTGAAATTATAACAATTAAATCTGTTAAGACTAAAGTTGCAAACTGAGCGAAACACAGGGTCAAAATGTGTAATTTACCCATTCTTTATTTGGAAACCATGGTTTATCAGGTTCGCACGAGTAGCCTTTTAACATAAACCTTCGCCGCCTTTTTTCCGTTTAGGCTGATTTTGAAGCACATAGGGTTTCTGGTTTGTCCGCAATTGGGACTCCAATAAACCCTTAAATTTTATTGCTTGAGATTCCTTTGTACCATAACATCGTAGGGCTTGTTCGTAATCCATCAATGGGATCGGTGAAGAGGAAGTCGTTAGAAGAAGGCCCTTCAGCTTCTACACCTCCGCCGCACAAACAACAGAAAGACAGCAAGAACAATGATAACAGATTAATGGGAACAAACAATGAGGCGGAGGCCGGGGTGGCGTGTGTTCATGATTGTTCATACCCGGAGAACTACGTTGCTGCTCCTCGGCGGTCAAATACCGAGGAAGACTCAAAGCCCGCTAAGGAATTTCCTTTTACACTCGACCCTTTTCAGGCGGAGGCAATTAATTGTCTGAATGCCGGAGAATCCGTTATGGTAACAAATTTTATTTTATGAAGAGCAATTTGCCGCTTGGTTTTAAAAATTCTTTATTCATAGTCATACAATTCATATACATGGAAGTTGCTTTTACTAAATCATCAAATTTACAGGTATCAGCACATACATCAGCAGGGAAAACTGTTGTGGCATCATATGCTATTGCAATGTCACTGAAGAATAAGCAACGAGTAATATACACTTCTCCTATAAAGGCACTGAGTAACCAAAAGTACAGAGAGTTCAAAGAAGAGTTTTCTGATGTGGGTTTAATGACTGGAGATGTTACTATTGAACCCAATGCTTCTTGCTTGGTGATGACCACAGAAATCTGGCGTAGTATGCAGTACAAAGGATCAGAACTCACAAGGGAGGTGGCATGGATCATTTTTGATGAGGTACACTATATGCGTGATAGAGAAAGAGGGGTAGTTTGGGAAGAGAGCATTGTTATGGCCCCCAAAAATGCTCGTTTTGTGTTCCTTTCTGCTACAGTTCCAAATGCTAAAGAATTTGCTGATTGGGTTGCAAAGGTTCATCAGCAACCATGTCATATTGTTTATACAGATTATAGGCCAACACCTCTTCAACATTACCTTTTTCCTACTGGTGGTGATGGTTTGTATTTAGTGGTGGATGAAAAGGGAAAGTTTCGTGAAGATAGTTTCCAAAAAGCTTTAAATGCTCTTGTTCCTGCCAATGATGGTGACAAGAAGAAAGATTATGGGAAGAAGCAGAAAGGACTGGTTAATGGTAGAGGTGGTGAAGATAGTGATATATTTAAAATGGTGAAGATGATTATTCAACGCCAATATGATCCTGTTATAATCTTTAGTTTCAGCAAAAGGGAATGTGAATTTCTTGCAATGCAGGTAGGTTTCTTTTTAGCACTTGTGGTTATTTTATTGATTAAAATCACAATTACTAGTAATCTTGAACATCTTGTAGATGGCTAAAATGGACTTGAATGAGGATGATGAGAAAGTGAACATTGAGACCATCTTTTGGAGTGCTATGGACATGCTATCAGATGATGACAAAAAGCTACCCCAGGCAAGATTATCTTACCTATCTGTTTACTTCTATTTAAACAATGACATGTTTCCATTACCCTAAGTTGCAAAACCCTTTCTCATATTTTTTGGTTAGCCAGGTGTCAAATATGCTTCCCCTCTTGAAGCGTGGGATTGGTGTGCATCATTCTGGCTTACTCCCCATACTGAAGGAAGTCATTGAAATACTATTTCAAGAAGGTCTAATTAAGGTTGGAATGAGATAATACTTCATTAATCTTTGTGATCCCTTCATTTTGGTTTGAGTGGTTATAACTTATAACTGGTTTCCATCTCAATGAATCTTGATTAACACTGTATTATGTTCTTTTTCCCACACAATTCTGCTTTTGTTCCATTATACTGAAGTTTATCTTTAACTAAGACTAGAGTAGTGTTTGTTTTAGCATATCCTTGAAGTTTCATCGGTTTCTAACATTGAAACATGTTGTATCAGTGTTTGTTTGCCACAGAGACATTCAGCATAGGTCTCAACATGCCTGCAAAAACAGTTGTCTTCTCAAATGTTCGGAAGTTTGATGGAGATAAATTCAGATGGCTATCAAGTGGTGAATACATACAGATGAGTGGTCGTGCAGGGCGTAGAGGAATAGATGATCGTGGTGTCTGCATTCTTATGCTTGATGAAAAATTAGAACCTTCAACTGCTAAAATGATGGTTAAAGGAAGTGCTGATTGTTTAAACAGGTTTGCATTTCCTACCATTGCCCCTTTCAAAAAATGTTCAATTTTATGTTTACCCCTTAATGATAATAATTGATGTGGTTGCCATTTACCAGTGCTTTTCATTTAAGCTACAATATGCTTTTGAATCAACTGAGATGTGAAGATGGTAATCCAGAAAATTTGCTTAGGAATTCATTCTATCAGTTCCAAGCTGATCGAGCCATCCCTGATCTTGAGGTTGGTTATCTTTTATTTTATATATAAATTTGCATATCAGGTTTTACTTATTTATTTGTTTATTTTGTTTGTAGAGACAAATGAAGCTTTTACAGGAGGAAAGGGACTCGATTCACATTGAAGAGGAGGATAGCTTAGAAAATTATTACTCTCTGCTACAGCAGTATAGAAGCTTAAAGAATGATGTTCGTGATATTGTCTTTTCTCCTAGATATTGTTTGCCATTTTTGCAGCCTGGCAGGCTTGTTTGTGTTCGTTGTGGGAATAATGACGAAAATGCCCTTCCTTTGTCAACCGAGGATAATGTAACATGGGGTGTAATTGTCAACTTTCAAAGAGTTAAGGGTCTTTCAGAAGGTGAGATATTAGTTTTCTACGAGGATTTTTTTTATAAAATTAGTTGCTTGAATAGCAAATGACTTATATATATATATATATATATATATATATATATATATATATATATATATATATATATATATATATATATATATATATATATATATGTGATTCAGATGATGCAAATAAAAGCCCTGAAGATGCAAACTATTCAGTGGATATACTTACAAGATGTGCAGTTTCTAAGGATGAACTTTCAAAGAAAACAATCAAGATTGTTCCATTAAAATCCCCCGGGGAACCTGTTGTTGTTTCTGTTCTTGTTTCTCAGGTAAGATTATAACTTGTTATAGATCTATGTGTGCAAAAGGCATAAATACCCTCCTCATCCTCATTTTCGAAAATGGCCCTAGAGAGCTTTAAAAATGCACAATTTCTTGTTTTACCTAATGTATAAGCATCTGATTTTTGATTTTTCTATGAACAGATAGATAACTTGAGCAGTGTTCGTCTTATAATAGCTAAGGATCTTTTGCCATTAGAAAATCGGGAAAACACCTTGAAAAAGGTATCCGAAGTTCTCTCCAGATTTTCCAAACAAGGAATGCCACTCTTGGACCCTGAAGAAGACATGAAGGTTTGATTTTTGGAATTAATTTTGCATCCTTTAGTTCCCATTAATGGTCATGTTGTCATTTTTTATGTATGCTATTATCCAACAGGTCCAAAGTGGGTCATATAGGAAGGCTGTTCGCAGGATTGAGGCTTTAGAAAACCTGTTTGATAAACATGAAGTTTCAAAGTCTCCACTTATTGAGCAAAAACTCAAAGTGTTGCACAAAAAGAAAGAAATTACTGCTCAAATTAAAACAATCAAGAAGTCAATGCGTTCTTCATCTGCACTTGCCTTCAAAGATGAGCTCAAAGCAAGGAAAAGGGTTCTTCGGAGACTTGGGTAAAACATTTATTATGTTAAGGGTCGAATTCACATTTATTATTGCATTCTACTTTGACTTGTATGAATTAACAATGTTTTTTTTTTGGTTTGAATTTTTTTCAGATATGTGACTAGGGAGGATGTTGTGGAGTTGAAGGGGAAAGTTGCTTGTGAGATTAGCAGTGCTGATGAACTGGTGTTAACAGAGCTTATGTTTAATGGGGTTTTCAAAGACATAAAGATAGAGGAAATGGTGTCTCTTTTATCATGTTTTGTGTGGCAAGAGAAGCTTCAGGATGCTCAAAAGCCCAGGGAAGAACTGGACATGCTTTTCACACAGTTGCAAGATACTGCACGCAGAGTTGCAAAAGTGCAGCTAGAGTGCAAGGTTACATTCTTATGATTTCATAATTTTAAAAAAAAAAAAAAAAAATAGCAAAGTAGTAGTTTGTTAGCCTTATATGAATAATGATTTGACAGGTTGAAATTGATGTGGAGAGTTTTGTAAATTCATTCCGGCCTGATATCATGGAGGCTGTTTATTCATGGGCAAAAGGGTCAAAGTTCTACGAGATCATGGAAATCACACAGGTGTTTGAAGGGAGCTTGATCAGAGGGATCAGGAGACTGGAAGAAATACTTCAGCAGTTGATACTTGCAGCAAAATCCATTGGGGAAGTTGAACTTGAAGCCAAGTTTGAGGATGCAGTTTCACAGATCAAGAGGGATATTGTGTTTGCAGCTTCTCTATACTTGTAGATGACAAACATATGGGTTAAAATTGTCACAGAATTTAATGGCATTCTTTTTCTTGTAAGGTAATATTTTTTTCAAGTCCCCATACCATATACGAATACGATACCTAGAGGGCGAGTAGACTGTAATGATACAGACATTCTCTAATGTATTATTACTATTCATTGGTCTACTGTTTTCTTTGCGTTTTTTGTATTAATGTTACTGATTGGGGATAGTTAACCCATGAGCTCAATTGATACACCAAAAGGGAGGGTGAACTATGATTTCTGGTAGTCGTTATCACCAATATTGTCAAATTTAGGGGCGGAGAGAGGTGGAGGAGACACTATGGTCTTCATCCACCCAAACCTTAAACCACCATTTTTTTGAACCCACTTCATTAAATTTTCATGAGTGCTGAACATCTGATGAATAAAAATATATAGTTGGTCAGTTTGAAAATTATCTAACAAAAATATAACATATAACAACCTATGAATATACTAAAACTAGCCGGTAAAAATACATATTTGGTGGGTTTGAAAATTCGTCATATGTTTCACTTGTTATAGAGATATGGATGCAAACAGAGATATGAGAATCTAGGTTTCTAAATATATGAATATGCGCATATGTGATTTGAAAATATGAATATGTGCGTCTATGATTTGATATTCTTTAATTATTTGAAAGTATAAATATATCTTTGATTGGAAAGTATGAATCACAGAGTGATATAACGTGATAAAGTAAAATTCTTCATATCGTTTAATTATTTGAAAGTATGAATATTATATTTGTCTTGTGATTTGAAAGTATGAATCTAGGTTCACACAAATGGTCCTTGGAGTTATGGAAAATGTACCGTAAAATGAATATCTGTTATTAAAATAAAAATTTCGGTTTAATTATTTTGTAAGTAATATACAAAAATAGTCCCTAGATTCATGAAAAGTGTAATGTAAAATATATATCAACTATTAAAGTAAAGATACTTCTTTTGTAAGTAATTTAAACAAAAAGAGAAAAAGAGGGAAAAAACAACAAAAAAAAGAGAAAAGAAGAAAAAAAAAACAAAATAATTAAATAAAAAAATATTTATATCAAAATAAGAGATACATTTACCAACATACTTGTAATATGCATTTTTACCGTTTTTGTACTTAAAAAAAAAATAGTGATCGATCGAATCATGCGCATTTAACATGGTTAGTTATCGGATTTTTTTATTTGTTATCTGAATCTAATTATTTGATCTAAAATGAATGTTTTAGAATATTTCATGATGAGACGAGGGAAAAGATGTAGAAGATCTCTATAAACTCTTAAGCCTTGGAAGAACACAAGCTATATTAAACATAATTTCTCCAACTCATTTAAGCCTTTAAGCCTTGGAAGAACACACACACACACACATACTATATATATATATATATATATATATATATATATATATATATATATATATATATATATATATATATATATATAAAACAAACAGCAGACGTTTCTAACACCATTGCCCCAAATTGGCAAAACATAGTTCAATTTGTGGTACAAAATGATAGTGTATCTATCTGTATGCAAAGCAAAGCAAAGCAACAAGAGGAGTTGCTTTCTATCTCTCATTCTCATGAAAGTGTGCGCTTATTGAAAGACTCAATCGTCAAATTGGCAGTGAATGCTGGAATCGAGTTCATCTTCCCAATGAAAATCTCCACCTGCAATATCCATCGCAAAACTGTTTACTCATTTTCATAACTTGCAATTTTTTATCTCATTAACATAAAAAAAGAAAAAGCAGGATGTTTGTTTAAGCTCAAAAAGCAACAACAGTTCCTTATTACTTATTAGAATAGAGGTGGTTAGTACAAACCTGCTTGGATATGTCACGCTGCTGTGTGTAGTTATTTCCCTGAAAACGAAATCTGCTTTGTAAGCCTCATGAATGCATTTTTTTTTTTATATTCTTTGAATGAATAAATATATCGTCTTACAAGAATTTTTGTGTTCCCCGATTCATATTCGAATTGAAGTTTTTCATCTTCACTTTGAGCATATATTGAGTGAAGGGTAAATCTTGTAACAGGGATCCCATCCGATCGCTGGTGATCATCCATCACAATCTGTAGATATCAAGAAAAACGATAACAATTTACTGAAATATCAATATATATATATATATATATATATATATATATATATATATATATATTGATGAAAAGTGAAAACAAATGTGAAAATATGAATTTCCTCATGTAACGTAATGTTACCTTGTAACCAAATAATTCACAGCATGCCCTTCGAAAAACCGAGATTCTATCTGCAAAAACCGTCTTATACCTGTGTATAATATAGCCAGCATCTTTAATTCAAATATGATTAAAGAATCAAAACACTTGTAAAACTAAATAACATAAAGGTTGCTATTTCTTAAACATATCACTTACCTTTCCTCACGTTTCTCAAGGGTAGCAATTTGCTCTTTTAACTGCACTGTTTTCCCAGAAATATACGAGTCTACCAATGTCCCAGCATCAGCTGAACAACACAACACAAAACAACATAAATATTCAATAACTGTCATCAGACAAAATAAACACACAGACAGTTTTTGGCAAGAAAAGAATATACCTGACTGCTTTTTCAACTCCTCAACAGCTTGTAACTTGTCTTTTGTCTTCTGTAATTCATTTTGCAAAGCCTCTATTGTCTGTTTTGCCTCGCTGTCAACTGCCAGGCTGTTCACCATACGCAGTACTTTTGTACTTGCAGATGAAAAATCACCATGCCCCACCTGTTGATAAATTAAAAAAGAAAATCTATAACAAAAAAGTTTTAAGATAACACACAAAAAAAAAAAAAACATTGAAGAAATTTGAACCTTTGATTCTAATATAGCTATCTCTGAGCGGAGTCGATCATCCTCCCTCTCCAACGACTTTATTCTTCTTAATTCATTATTCAGCCTCTCATTCAGCAGCTTTATTTCATTATGCTGACGGGCATTTACGTCTTTTTGCTCAAGTATAGAGCTCTCCAGTTTCTTTATATAATCTTCTTTAATGGCAAGAGACGATTCAAGTGTTCCATCAGTCATTACACTTGCAGCCCCTGCTTCAGCATTCTTTTGCTGCTTCAGTTGATCTACAACACTTTTCAAACGATCCCTCTCCTCACTAACTGAAGAAAGCTGCAAAAATACTTCTTTTCTTATTAAAAAAAAGAGAATCAAAATGAAATAAAATGTTTGGAGTTTCAAAATTTTGAAAAAACCTACAAGCAACTCATTTCTTTTGAGCTCCAATTTCAAAAGTTCAACCTTCTCTTTGGTCAATGCAGACTCTGTTTCAGCAGTCTGTCTACCATTCTCAGCAACATCAAAAGCAACCTCTACTTGTTTCAAACGTGCACTCACCTCTCCCATCTTCATCATGCTCTCAATAACATCTCTGTAATGCAAAACCAAAAAGGTCAATTTGGTAAATAAGTCACCCCAAAGATATTTATCAACTTGTGAAAAAAGTTAATTGGTGCCAACTTTTGCAATGCTGCAAACTTTGGAGGTATGTCAGCAGCACATGTCACACCAGGAATCTCCTTCATCATTGATTCCCAACATGACAATTCATCCTGCAATTTCTTTGCATTTAATTGTGCTTCTGATAATTCTGAAATCCCTAACTCTGCCCTCTCTCTCCTGCTCTTTTCTTCAAGCAATTTCTCCCTCAATAACTCAATGTCCTCATGAGAGGATTTCCATTTCCTAGCTTCACGGACTTCTGATTCCTGATCACAAATATAAATATACAAAACAATGATTATTGTTTCTGCTTTAACTTTAAAACCAGTGGATAAACTGATGTTAGAGAATTTGGGTTTTTTTTATTTAAATATTGATGTTGCCCTTGTGACCCTTTACTCAAAATTAAATTACTTGAAATGTTGAAGGATAAAGCATACATAATTTCTGAGCTCTTCTCTCAAATGCTTCACCAAGATACTGTCATCTGAGGAAGGAGCTTCTTGATATGTTAAAGTGGAAAGTTTTTTCTCTACTTCATTCTTCTCATGCAGGCACTGGGGATAAGAACATAACACCAAATATAGACAACAAGCCAGTTTCAAATTTCAATGATATTTCTATATGAGTTATAAATGCTACATTACAAATTCAGAAGAAAGTTACAAATTCAGAAGAAAGTTATAACCTCATTAAGTTGACTTTGAAGGTTTTCAAGTTGTTCCTTCAGGAGAGTTGCTTCTTTCTCAAAGTTAATAGCTCTGCATTCCATTTTCTCAAGCTAAGTACAGAATAGCAGTAATTAGTTCCATATCATGCAAGAACAAATATTTTTGTGGTCATAATTAACGAATTAAGACTACTCACATCTGCACTAATTCTAGAAATTGAAAGTTTTGATTCCTGTTTAAGCTGTGTAAGATCCTTCTGAAGACGAACTTTTTCCCTCTCTGTGCTTTCAGAGACTTGGCTCAATTTCCCCTCTAAAAGACTTGCTTTTTCTTCAGCTGAGGATAACAAAGATTCTGCTTTTTTGCGAAGATCCATCTCTTTCCTGAATTTGACCTAAAAGAAGAGAATCAGAGAAATATCAAGATTGCAGACTATAAAAAAACATCAACTAATAACTAGATAGTCCAAGGGACTGTTTTTTTTTAAACTTAATGGGCTTAATGGAATAAGCACTTAATCTGGAAGGCTATATGGATAGAGTGATTTAATGGGTTAAGTCAAAAAAACCTAGCTTAATGTATTAGAACACTTATCCTTTTACCTATTTGCACTTCTTTTTTACTCAAAAACTCCTTTCCCAATAAAATTGATGAGTATGGTTAAGTTTGTTTTTTGGAATGTAAGGGCAAAATGGGAATTTAGTCTCATTCAGATGGTTTATTTAGTCTGGAAAAGAAAAAGACCTCATGTACACAAGACTTTATCCATACAAACATCATTACCCATACAAAACTTCATGAGAAAAAAAGGTACACCCCTTATTCAAGGAACTAAAACTTGAATGAAGAATAAACATATTGAAATAGTTATGGTTTAATATTAAACCTCAAGTTCACTATGGATATGGATTTGCTTCCTTAGTCGTTCTTGAGATTCATTTATCTCTTTCAAAAGCTGATCTTGCAGAGCCTCTTCACGCCCTCTTGCAGCAGCTAGTTCTTGTTCTGCATATAGAATCTGATCGCGAAATTTCATCCTTTCAGCTTCTGCAGCAAGTGAAAGTCACTCTTAAA